TTTAAGTTGCTTTTAATATCATTCCCAATAAATTTCATTTAATCAACACATATATTTAAATCTCTGTGATGAGTCAGATCCTAAAAACAGGACATATTAAACCTGAATCAACACATAGGATCTCTGCGAGCATAGATATTCAATGGATTACAGTCCCTTTGCTCTCTTCCCTCACAATGTCAGAAGAGAATCCAGGTAGACACTTGTTAACCTACAGCGGACTTGCACCTATCCACACATCCATTTATCCATCCATACATCTGTTCACCCACCCACACATCTATTCATCCATCCATCACCCACCCACTCCAACAACTACTCATCCATACATCTACCCATCTGCCCATCTGTTTATCCTTCCACCAATCCACCCATCCATTCATGGAGCCCCCATTGAAGGTCCAAGGCTGAGAAATACAAGCTAAGTGCTTGGAAGATCAACCTGATATTTTGAATGGCCTCCGCAGGCTAAAACCACGGACAGAATAGAACAAGATAAGACGATGTTCTGGGATCCAGGGAAACAGTGTGGAAGATCTGAGTGAGTAATCTGCAAGGTGCTGACCGGGCCCCTCCTCAGCCCTGATGTTTGTTAACATTTATGTCGATGTGTCACTTCCTATAGCTGTTTTGAGGGCAGGAATGGAACTTTATCCATCTTCATGACTCTCGGGCTTCGTACAGGGCCTGGCATATGTGTATTGAACAAACGATGAAGGGAAGAAGGACCAGAGTGTTGTGGAAGGTCCTACACAGAGCCAGGAACATGGGACGTGTAGCCGCTGAGGGCTGGGTGCTGGGGAGGGCTGTGGCTGCTTGCTTCATCACCGCAGAGGGCTCCAGTGCAGATTTCTCTCTCTCCCACAAAGCTCTGAGCCCAGGTCCAGGGGTGGGGGAAACCCCTGTGATCTCAGCCCACTCCCACCTGCTGGGGCCGGCCAGCCCTTAGCCGCTGCAGCCACGGGGCATCAGGAGAGGCCTTGAACGTCTTTCTCCCCACGGTGCTGCTGAGCTGGGGCCAGGGACCTGGCTGGGGCACATCCTAGGCCCCATCCTCAGCAGGAGAAAGGTGGGGGTGGGCACTGCTTGTCCTCTCCCCTCCGCTCCACGACTCTGCAGAGAACCAATTTGCCTTATCAGAAACTCCCGAGAGTGGCTGGCTAAACCAAATAGCTAGGATTCCTGCTCAGAGGCACATCTGTTCCTGATAGACGGGAGGCCAGGGACGACAAGGCAGGGGAGGGGAGGCAGAGGTACTCGGCCAGACCTTCCCAAAGTGATGCTCCCAGTCAGGCGCGGGGAGCCTGCCAGCCTGGCAGTGGGCAGACCTGGGCTGCCCCCAGGGCCTGAGGCAGGAGGAGCTCCCTGCTCCCCATACTCTCCCCAGCTGAGGAGCCAGCACCTGCATTTGGTGGGGCTGGGGGCAGGATGGAAAGGACCCCATCCGTGCATGTGTGCGATGCTGCTGGGCCACACCGAGCTCCTCCCAGCTGGGGCGCCTCCCTGCTCCTGGCCCAGTACCACCCCTTCCACCCCACCTGCTAGTGCACCTCCAAACTCTCTCAAGCTCCAAGGGTTCCCACACTTAGACCATCTCTCTAGAATTTGCATCTGAGTGGCTCACTGTCCCCTTAAAGGCCCCTCCCTGCTTCCCAGACCTCACTCAAGGTCAAGTTCAGCTTCTTGGCTCAGCACTGAGGCCCTTTGAGCTGCAGCCATCTCCCTCCATGTGTGCACACCTTTGCCTGCACATGCAGCATGCGGTTCCCTGTGCCTAGAACACCCTTCCTGCCCACGTCCTGCCAATGCCCAAGCGCCTGTCCAACCCGGCAGGAGGAGTGCCCTGTCTGCATGGTCTTTCTCAGCCCCAGGCCTCCAGGTGCCTTTGCCTCATCCCATTGACACCACCAGGGCCTCTTGGCCCAGAAATTCCTTCTTCTGAAGCCTCGGCTCCCCACCACCAAGAGCGGGCATAGCCAAGTGCATGAACGAAGAACGAAGACTGAGAGGAGGGGATCAGGAGAGGGCAGTGGAGGAAGCTGGAAGGAGGGAGGGGCAATGCTGGCTCCCTGAGGACTCCGAGGACTCCGAGGAGACCCGGGGAAGGTGAAGGCTTGCACCACTTTTCCGTCTCCTGGGAGAGCCAGCCACGTGGGAACTGCCTGAAGATGGGGAGGGGCCCATTCTTGCTTCCAGCCACGGCACCTTGGGGTCCCACCTGCTCCCTACCACTGGGCTCCAACATGTGCCTGCACCCCCCTCCCTCAATGCAGTCTGAGGCCACCCTGCTCCACACCCACCACCCCACTGACACCGCCACTCTGGGGCTGCCGGCTCCCAAGGACAGAGCCATCCCCATCTCCGTGTGCTCCACGGCCGAGCTGAGTCATGGGGGGTCTCAGGTTTTGGACAATCAAGGAGGGAGGAGGCGAGAGGATGGGGTGCAGTAGAGGGGGTGGGTGGGTAATAGGTCCCATCACCACGAGAGTCTAAGCACCTGTCTGTGTGAAGCGGGTACTGAGGGCCAGACTTGGAGAGGGGTTCCCTGGAGGAAGCAGCTGCAGGTGGCCGCTCTCCTGCCATCCTTCCCTGTGCAGCCTGTGCAGGTAGCGTGGAGTCCCCACTCCAACTCCCAGATGGACATGCACCCCGATACCCCCAACCCCCAAGACACATCTCATTCAGCCGTCCCCCAGAGGAAGCAAGCCCCACCCTCGCCCCAGGTCTGTGGTGCGGTTCCCTCTCCCCGGCCTCGGCAGCCCCTTCCACCGAGGAGGAGCCCAGCGCGGAGGGCACGGCGCTGGGGAGAGGGCCGGGCTGGCGGCCGGAATGTGCCGCGGCCAGTGTAAACAGATCATTTCTGTCTGCCTTGGGGGGAGGGCTGGGGGCGGGGAGGGAGTTGTCTTGGGCTTTGTTATGTTCTGAAAAAAAAAGGCAAAAAATTTGGGTCACAAACCACAAACTGTTTTGCTTTCGGCATGACTGGCATAAACAGGCATTTTCTCTTTGGTTTCAGGCTGGCTGAGGCCTGGGCTGGCTGGGGCTGGGAGCCGGGAGACAGGCTGGAGACTGCACTCTGAGCCTGGGGCTGCGGCCCGGCCTGGGCCAGAGGGGGCTGGGCAGGGCCAGGGGCCCAGCTGAGAAGGTAAAGACCAGGCTTGAGGGGTGGGGCTGTCAGCCCTGGCCTGGCCGCACCTGTGTGAGAGCTGGGAGGAGCAGGGACCCTGGGGACCAGGCCCAGAGGGACAAGTTCCTCCAGGATGAGGCCTGCTGAGCGGCCAGTGTGCAACCCTAGCAAGGACCCCCGGCAGGCTGGGTCTCCCCGGCAAGCTAACTCAGGGGGCAGGGTGTTAGCCACCGGGTAGGGTGCCAGGGTTCGTCGAGGCACCCTTCGGGGCTGTCTGTCTGACCCCTCTGGTCTGGAAGCCCCAGACAGAGCCCCAGGGATCCTGGAAAGGACTTGCCAGCAGGCGTCTTGGGACCATGGTTAGCAGTGTCTCTGGCGGACAGTGGAGGGGCTGAATGCCAGACCAAACAGGAAGGGGGACTGGGGAGGCCAGACTCCTGAGGGTCAGAATGGCACGGTACAGCAGAGGGCGTGCGTGAGTTACCAGGACTAGGGTGATGCCAGAGGGCCTGGGCAAGAGGGCAGCAGGTGAAGCCTGGGACTGGGAGCGGAGGGCGGTTGGGAGGAACAGGGAGCCTGGCCAGGGCCTGGATTTGCAAGTGGCCCATGGGATTCACGGAGGGCTCTAAGTGGAGAGAGGCAGGCTCTGCCTCACTGCTCTGGTCCCATATGGAGCATGGCCAGAGGGGCTAGCTCTACTGGAGGCTAGACAGCAGCAGGGGCCAGGGCCTGGTGGAGTCCATGGATCTCTTCAACCAACTCATTGTGAGGTGTGGTGGAGGACAGTGGTTGGGGGCTGGCAGAGGCACGCTGGGTGAGGGGTCTGCAGGACATCCTGGAGGAGTGAAGCCGGCCACAGCAGGTGCCACTGGAAACGTGTCCTCTTCATTCCCGGAGCATTTGCGGGACAGGTCCACACGGACTGCCGTTGTGTAGAGGAATTCCAAGGCAGGCTCCATGCCGAGGGTACAACCATGCCAAGATTACCTGGGCAAAGGTCTGCAGGGGAAAAGATCTAGGCAGGGGAAGTCCGACCCGGAACCACCGTGTCTGGGCAGGTGTCATAGCGGTGGTGGTGATGGGTAGCCTGGGTCAGGTGGTCTCATGGGTTATCACGAGGGTGTTGCTTGTCACTAAGGAAATAAGGTACCACTGCCAGACTATGAGCCGAACTGTGCCATGTGGCCACGTGGGTGCTGTGTGGAGGTTAGAGTGGAGAGGAGACAGGCCAGAACAGGCAGGCACAAGGCTGGGGCAGCCGGGATGTGGGCCGTGGACTGGGAGCTCCTTGATTAAATGTTCAAGGAAGGATCCACAGCACCTGGAATGGGACCTAGGACGGAGCCAGGGCATCCTAATGTCATTTCCTAAGTGACCCCAGGCAGGTGGCTTAAAATAACAGAAATTCATTCTCTCACAGTTCTAGAGGCCACAAGTCTGAAACCAAGGGGTCTGCAAGGCACCTCCAAAGTCTCTAGGGGAGGATTTCTCTCCACCCATTCCAGCTCCTGGGGCCTGGGCGTTCCCTGTTGTGTGGTTGCCTCACTCCCATCTCGGCCTCCAGGGTCACCTGGCCTTGTCCTGGGGTGCCCCTTCTCCTTCGTGTCTTTTCTGAGGACACCTATCACTTGATTTAGGCCCACCCCAAACCCAAGATGATCTAATCACAAGATCCTGCAAAGACCCTTCATCTTTTTTTATTTTTCTTTTTTTTTGAGACAAGGTCTTGCTCTCTCACCCAGGGTGGAGTACAGTGGTGCGATCTCCTCACTGCAACCTCTGCCTTCTAGGCTCAAGTCATCCTCCTGCCTCAGCCTCCCAACTAGCTGGGACTACAGGCGTGAGCCACCACACCAGCTAATTTTTGTCTTGGGGTGGTTTTTTGTGGTAGAGATGGGGTGTTGCCATCTTGCCCAGGCTGGCCTCAAACTCCTAGGCTCAGGTGATCCACCCACCTCCGGCCTCCCAAAGTGTTGGGATTACAGGTGTGAGCCACCGCGCCTGTTGACCCTGTTTCTATTCACGAGCACATTCACAGGTCCAAGGGGGTCAGGATATAGACAGGTCTCTTTTATTGTTTAGAGACATGGGGGGGATCTCATGCTGTAACCCAGGCTGGAGTGCAGTGTCTATTCACAGGTGCTATCACTGCTCACTGTAACCTTGGACTCCCGAGCTCAAGTGATCCTCCTGGCTCAGCCTCCCGAGTAGCTGGGACTACAGTTTCGAGTCACTGATGTGGTGGGACAGATCTTTTTGAGGGCCACCATTCACCCCATGGCCTTAGGGGCCCGTGGTGTCTGTTGAACAAATGGCATTGGCCTATGCAGCCCAGGCCATCTGCCCCCAATGACAGCTGTGCCTCCTACACAGGCCCCTACACAGGCCCCCCATCTCCTCCTGCTGCTGCAGCTCCCACCCACCAAAACCCCCGACTTCCTGCTGTTGCTCAAACACTCCCACAGCCACCCATGCTTCATCACCAAGAGGAAGAATGCTCTTTCTGCACACTCCATACTCCATCCTCAGCTCCTTCCAGTCTCTTCCCCCATGCCAACTTCTCCATGAGGCTTGTCCTACTTAAAAGAGCACCCAACACCTTTGTCCTTCTTCCCTCCATGACACTGAGCCCATCTCTTGGCCCGAAAGTCCAACATGTGGATAGTGCCTGTCCATGCATACAAATGCATGAGTGGGTGGGTGGATGGAGGGTGAGTGGATGGATGGATGAGTGGGTGAGTGAGTGGTAAGTGGGTGGATGGACAGGTGAATAGCTAGATGACCAGGTGGGTGGATGGAGGGTGAGTGGATGGATGGATGAGTGAGTGAGTAAGTGGGTGAATGGGTAGATGGATAGATGACTGGGTGGGTGGATGGAGGGTGAGTGGATGGATGGATGAGTGAGTGAATGGGTAAGTGGGTGAATGAGTAGATGGATAGATGAGTGGGTGGGTAGATGGGAGGGTGAGTGGGTGGATGGATGAGTGGGTGAGTGAGTGGTTAAGTGAATGAGTAAGTGGATGGGATGGATGAATAGGTGGATGGATGGGTAAGTGGATGGTTGGGTGGGTGGATTGTTGGGTGGATGAATAGATGAGTGGATGGATGAGTGGGTGAGAGTGGGTAAGTGGGTGAGTGGGTGGATAGGATGGATGAATAGATGGATGAGTGGGTGGATGAGTGAAGGGGTAAGTAAATGGATGGATGAGTGGGTGAGTGAGTAGTAAGTGGGGTGTTTGTGGATGGGATGGATGAACAGATGGATGGGTGGGTGAGTGGATGGTTGGGCGGGTGGATGAAAAGATGGGTGAATGGGTGAGTGGGTTAGTGAGTGGGTGAGTAGGTGGAGGATGGATGAATAGATGGATGAGTGGGTAGGCAGATGGAGGGGTGAGTAAATGGATGGATGAGTGGGTGAGTGAGTGGTAAGTGGGTGGAGGGGATGGATAAACAGGTGAATGGGTGGATGGTGAGTGGATGGTTGGGTGGGTAGATGGATGAGTGGATGGATGAGTTGGTGAGTGAGTGGGTAAGTGGATGGGTGGATGGATGGGTGGATGAATGAGTGGAGGGATGGATGGGTGGATGAGTGAAGGGATAGGTGGATGGACAGGTGGATGGATGGTTGGATGGATGGGTGGATGGATGAGTGGATGGATGGGTGGAGGGATGGGTGGATGGATGAATGGGTGGATGGATGGGTGGAGGGATCGGTGGAGGGGGGGGTGAAGGGATGGGTGGATGGATGGATGGGTGGAGGGATGGGTGGATGGATGGGTGGAGGGATGGGTGGAGGGATGGGTGGATGGATGGGTGGAGGGATG